GACTATCAGAGTAGGGGTGCGTACGGGTAGTGTTGAGGCAGTCGTTGATCGCAAGCAGACACACAATACACTGCATTAATGGCCGTTTGACTGACCCTTCAGTTTCCTAACGTCTATAGCACTCTTAACGCCACCTCTTGGCTATCATAAGCACTTTTTTGACCGCTTTATTCATTACATCTATTTTTAAAAGTTTCAAGTTTATCTGTTTTCAAATTGATCATGATCATTTTTAGTCACCCCAACCCCCACCCTCTGCCCCTCCCATATCGCTATAAACCACGTATTTTTTGGATTTTACATTAATTTAATTGCCATTTTAAGCACTAATTAAAACTTTATTAATAACTTTTATTTTGATTTTTATAAAGTTATAATAATTTGTGTAACAATTAATACGCGAAACACATTTAAAAGTATAAAATCATATGAAAAATCACAATATTTTTTGGCCGTTAAAAAGTTTGTTTCAACAAAACAAAGCTTTTATATTAATATTTGTTATATAAATAAAATCACAATAATCTCAGAGATATTTCTTAAATAATACACAATAGGGCTATAGATTTGGGCATATTTTGCTGTCTTTGAAGTCAGAGCCGTCGGCAATGTCTGCCTTTTTTACCAACATATGTGTGTATTGGCCCTCCTTTTCATACGTACCCTCCGGTCCTTTCATTGATTTTCTCTGTAAAAGTATTTAATAAATTGTCTTAAACAAATTAGTTTTAATAAGCTTTACATAATTTTAACAAACAATTTGAGGATATAGTGAAAGTAGGAAATATCACAAAACTTACTTTAATGAACGAAATGACATCGTTTATATTGACTGAACTCATGGTCAGTCGACAGCCCCACGCTATCAGTGCCAACGGTCTCTCCCTATCCATCAGATTATACGGCGTTATGATATGCTTTCGGATACAACTGGTGACCAGCGCTCGTAGTCTTGAGACCATTACTTTATTAGCACAGGGATGGTATAGCATCACAATACCAACGGTCTCTCCCTATCCATCAGATTATACGGCGTTATGATATGCTTTCGGATACAACTGGTGACCAGCGCTCGTAGTCTTGAGACCATTACTTTATTAGCACAGGGATGGTATAGCATCACAATCGCCCCGTGCTATACGTGCCATATCATAGCAAAATAATATTATAATATTGATTATTAACATTGTTTATTATGGTAATAAATTTTAATAAAGTTTTACATAGATAATTAAATTATAGTTAAGTATTAGGAAAGTAGTTTTAATACTTTTATAATTAGTCTAAAATTAGATTTCATTGTTAAATACCTCGATATTATGCAGCCATCGCTGTTTGGGAACAAACTTATATTCGCCAAACACTGGCCAAAGAGGTCTGTGGTCTCCATAAGTGGTGAGCGTCTCGTTGTACACAATTTGTTCAGCAATACAATGGTGTTGAGGCTAACGGTTTGAATATTATTATATCAATTAACAACTCATTAATAAATATAAATTGTGTGCAAAACTGATTCATACATAATATCCATCGGGAATGGGATCGCATGTCTCGATGCTCTTGATGTGAGGCAATACTGGTAAAGGTAACTGAGGATTATAACACGTGTAGTTCACTGGCGACCCGTCCCAATCCCGGAATGATTTTACATTATTATATTTTCACACGAGGATATAATCTATAAACTGGGCACATTATTTACTGGGGAAATAATTAATTTACGTTCACACTATAAAAGCGCATTTTCTTATTTCCACCACTTATATAATATGTTTTTGCAGTCAGTGATTGACTTCTAATTGTAGTTTATTTTGTTTCCAAATCTATTGTTATGCAAATTGTTGTTTAAAAATAACAATTAAGTCTATCCTTGAATTGACAGAAATTATTAATAATCATATAAATATTGAATTTTTTGCGATTAATTAATGAGAAATTTTAATTATAATAAAAAATATTGGAATTTACTGTTAATATTAAATTCTTGATAATTCTCTAATTAATTTGATGTCTAAGATATTCACTATTTAATCAAAAGATGCAACTAATGTATAAGAATATTGCAAGTAATTGTTGAATCATTTATCAAAACTAATGTCTACTGTTTTGTTTGCAGACATAATAAGATGTATTTATCATTTGCTATTCAATTTGTCAGCAAAATCAGTGCTTAACTATTGGGGAAAATAAAATTAATAGTTAGAATATATTTAAATACATGGCTAAAATGTATGAATATTACAGTATTTAATGTTTAAAATATGTTATAATTTATAAAGATAATTTTTGTGATACACTGTATTTAAAATATAGTACTCATTGGTATACTCAACCCATTAGCAACAAATATGTTTCAATTTTAAAATGATAACGTAAAGCTATTAGATAACGAAACTTTCATTAATGACTAACGGTAATCAGCATGGTGATACTGTATATTTAATATATTACTTTTGTAGTAAAATTAGTTTTTAAATTACAGCGATATTAGTAATATTATATTTTAAAAAAAGACAAATTATATATTATTCTTGCAATTGTCAACTATTAAGTTATGTAAAATGTAACAAATATTTACCATAATATAGTAAATACGGATATTCAATACAATTAACAATTTTTAACAAAATAACAATTCTTGGAATACATTATCGTAAATGTTTTATAATACAAACGATATATGCAATTGCTTTAATGTCAACATTTTTATTTTTAATCACAATTCATTAATGAATGTAGTTTATAACATCGTTAATTCAATGTCCGATATCTATAGGAATTATAACTTCTAGAATCTAGTTCATGTATAATTATAATGTCAAAACTACTGTATATTAACCATTGATTATTTGTTAAAAACATTTGTGTGCATACATTGATTAATAGATTGATTTATATTTTTAATAAGTTAAATAAAATGTTTGACCAATAAATTCAAAATTCTATGATAAATTATCATTGATAATGTTGTTTATAGTAGTTAATAATATAATATTTGCCACATTTATTTGTTATTTTAAGTATTGTAGTGTTTATAACAATAAAAACTTATTTTAAAACTTGTATAAAACTTTATTTCCATAAATATTATGTTATAGTTATGTTTTATTTGAAAGCTTATTGCTTTTGTTATAAAACATTTGCAATATTCTGTTTCAAACTATTTTCCATTCAATTCTTTCGCACAAAACATATTTGAAAAGCATTCAGAAGTTATTTTCATGTTTATAATAGTTAACAAGATTATGAAACTATATTTAATTCAACAAAGTTTCTATTATAAGACGGCATTCAACCAAATAAACGACCATTTTATGGAAACAGGATTAAGAAATATATTTGGAAATAGTTTTAATTAATTATTTTTAAATTAAAAATCTATTGTTTCCCAATTGAGTTGTTTGTCGCAAATAGTGGTCGCAATATATGATAGTGTTGTGAATATATAATATGGTCATCGGTTTTACGATCTAATAAACTCCTAAATGGGTCGACGGCTAACATGTTTAGCACTTATTATCACTTTTTTGTGTTTTGGTTAACAATACGTTTTGAAAGAAGGAAATTATTTTAATCAATGATAAGGTATTATATAAGAGAAGTGAAGCCATGCGTAGAGAAAGTGATGTATAGTTTATGAGAGAGAAATGTCATCATTTGTGACCTCAAAAGAGCATAGAGTCTATACTTTTCAATTCAATTCACTCTTTAATAATGAGATAAAATGTATTTTAAAACTTATTTTTCAAAATACAAGCGAACAATACTATGTAAACGTGAAAACAAAACGGAATTGAATGTCAAGTTAGTTGTGAACACTTTATGTCGTATAGTATTATAACGACTGATAACAGTTTAGAGTAGGAAAAAGTTGCTGCCCTTGACTTCAGATTGAAATTTGTGATCATTTCGATCGCATTTTTCTTATACTAATTCTCTATGCCTTATAGTCGAGGATAAACCAGATTTTATACATTTTGAAACGCTTTCAGCGATTACTTCACTAATCATTTGTATATATCTTATACCTAAAGCGCATTTGAATCCATCAAACGCTGAATATAAACACCGATATTAAATAAATTCAACGAAAAATATTATGAAATTATTGATTACTTTGAATATAACTGTGGTTTTATTGTTGCTCACAATTAATGAGAAAGTTTGGGCCAAAGTGTTGATCAAATCCAATGAAATCGCCAGTGAATTAAAGGATGCGAAACATGGCATCAAAATGGGACAACAGATTGACGGATGCGATGATGCAGTTGTATGTCTACATTCATTATATCCACTATTTTTGACATTCTTGTTAAACACTTTGTATATAACAGTGTATTCTTATATTTTTATATTTATATTCTTATAACCATTTTTACAATACTTGTATATTATATGTTATCATTTATTTTTATCTCATATTTCTATTTGTTTTTCTTTTCTAAACTCATTATTTCTCAAAAATTAAACCAAAACTTGTCTTCCATGTTAAATAGTTTTATAATTTTATGTTATTTAAAAATTCCTATTATATTTGGATAATTAGCTTTTAATTGTTATATTAATGGTTAATTGCAGAATAACTTGGACCGGGATTGGGACGGGTCGCCAGTGAACTACACGTGTTATAATCCTCAGTTACCTTTACCAGTATTGCCTCACATCAAGAGCATCGAGACATGCGATCCCATTCCCGATGGATATTATGTATGAATCCGTTTTGCACACACTTTATATTTATTAATGAGTTGTTAATTGATATAATAATATCCAAACCGTTAGCCTCAACACCATTGTATTGCTGAACAAATTGTGTACAACGAGACGCTCACCACTTATGGAGACCACAGACCTCTTTGGCCAGTGTTTGGCGAATATAAATTTGTTCCCAAACAGCGATGGCTCCATAATATCGAGGTATTTAAAAATCAAATCTAATTTTAGACTAATTATAAAAGTATTAAAACTACTTTCCTAATACTTAACTATCTGCTTAACTAATTTAATTATCTATATAATACTTTAGTAATATTTATTACCGTAATAAACAATGTTAGTAATCAATAATCAATATATTAATATTGTTTTGCTATGATATGGCACGTATAGCACGGGGCAATTGTGATGCTATACCATCCCTGTGCTAATAAAGTAATGGTCTCAAGACTACGAGCGCTGGTCACCAGTTGTATCCGAAAGCATATCATAACGCCGTATAATCTGATGGATAGGGAGAGACCGTTGG